AATTTAATTGTTATTTCTTTAAATTGTTTTTCTAGTTTTGACTTGTTTAGTTAATTCTCCAAATCAACCATGATTGGAATGTTTAGGATTTATTTTCTTTTCGTGTGTGATTAATACCAACGCTAAATTCCGAAACGTCTTCCTTGAGAGATCGACCCGGGGAACGAATCTTTTGATTCGGTTCTCGATAAAAATAAAAATAATTTGCTACAACACTGCTGCTAAAAATTTACTGATAAATGCTATTGAATCGGCAATTATGCAAAGAATGGATTTGTTTCATTAATTTTACAAAGAACTTTTTTGCAGTCATTTCAATTCATCCGTACTACAAACATGGACACAAAAACTAATGCTAGGTACTTTGTTTTTATTAATTAAAATTGTGCAAAAATTACAAGTCTATTCAAACTGTTCATAAAAGTCGGGTTTTCTCAAAATTTATTGAACATCAAATTCAGGTATAACATTTAATAACAATGTTTATAAAAAAAATATAAATTTGACTAATCATTTCAATCGACAAACTTTCACTAGATTTTAGACTAAATTTGAGTCGGCCGACTAAATATACATACATATATATATGTGTGTGTGTGATTCATTTACCAATAAATAAAATTTGTCACTTGACATGTTTGATTGTCCTAAAAATTCTATTGATTAACCATATAATTTCCAAAATAAATTTATGAAAATTGACAATATATAAGCAAAAAATATGTCTTAGATTTTTGAAAATATTATTTTACATATGGCACCAACCACAACGTGAATTTGTCTACAAGACTACAACACAACCTTCTAAATTGAACATGAATTGATTAAATAGACTTGAAAAGTTGCAAAATCTCAAATTCTAGTTTCATATTTAAAAAAGATTACACAATATAAGTGGCATGGTAATGAGATGACACTTGGGCTAAGATTCTCTTTAAGCAAACCAAAAAAGAGAAAAGAACTTCAACTGATTGGGTAGATCACACCAGAATATACAAAAGAGGACCAAAACATTTATGTCAAGTGAGCATCTTTAATTTTCCATTAACACTAACAAAAGATGCAGCAAAATGGAGTGGTTCCAAACCAAAACCCAGAAATAGGAGAAGCAAAAAAAAAAAAAAA